AAGGCTCCATCAGATGGTGTAAAGCATAAACCTATGCTAAAATGCACTAGTAGTTCAGAAGTGAAAAGAAGGTTTGACTGCTTCCATAGCAGTGTGTCATCAAAGCAGTATTTGCACCATGCACTAAGAAGTTGGTTCTCAGTGGGAACGTTTCTCATCTGCATGGTTCACATGCACCCTTCTGGCTTCACCTGGTGGTTACTCTAACTGCTTAAAGAAATGTTCACAAATGACTGGAGCTAGTTCATGCTCCTCCACGACATGTCTAAAAGTTACCCTTTTCCTGCACTGCGAAACTTAGAACAGGAAGCTCCTGGTGTTTAACACCTAAGTCACATATAAGTTCTGAAATGCAGCAAAAGCTACATCAAGCAGAAGTACTGCCTTGAGATAGAACCACATTTCAGGTCCTGCCACCCACACACTTCCACAGTGAAAAATATTTTCTGCAACTTCATCAAAATCCATAGATTTGCTTTTCTCTCAGTGACTGTATGGACACTAGACCCCAGAAGCTCTCAGATGTTTCAGAGTGTTGCAAGGACACAGGGCTCTTTGGGAGAAAAATATTACTCCTATTTAAGTATACTTTCTTGTACCCCCAGGAAGTAGGCAAAGCCCATTTTTCCAGTAGGAGCTGGAGACATTAACCACTGAAAGATTTAAAATAGCTGAGTACAGACCTGATTTGCTTAAGTCTTTCTTCAGTGCTCTGACCACTGGTGGTAAACTGAACCCTTAGACTGTAGCCATGGGTGTGGGTGGGTCACACAGAAGCCAAGAGGCTCTTATTCTCTCCATATGTTTCAGGGGACACTTGTACCCCGGTGGCCTCAATGACCACTGGCATAAGCAGTTTGAAGATGCTGCTCATCACTGCCCCATTCCCAAGGAAGCCACCACAGGTACAGAGCAGCATCCTAACGTCCCCCATCAGGCCTCATCAGACTAGGTGGTGGCTCTCTGCTGTGCCCTGCTTGCCTGGACAGGATGCAACCCTCTATAGGAGGCACATCTAACATCAAGCTGACATGAAAAGCAGACTTAAAATAAAACCTGCTTAGGGCTTGATCTGCTGTAATCAGCAGAAAGAATCCCAAGGACTTTGATGTGGACCAAATCAAGCCCCTGGAGGACATTCATAGTAAATCATTATTAATATAATGAGTGCAATTTCTGTGCAGCAGCTCAGGCCTGTTTATGGATATATGAAAATTGCCAGCTTTTCACATAAAATGAAATGAGGAGGGAGACAGACCACAGTGTTTGCCAATGAGCCATAGTAGCCACTCTCCTTTTGATATGTGTACATTTAAAGAAACTGGGCACTTAAAATGACAGCAAATTCCTCAGGTGAAGCTCCCTTAATTTAGTAGTTTGACATATCTCCAAATCTGAACAGGAAAGAAAGCAATTCATAGCAACCAATAAAACACCTAAACACCTGTGCTAGGAAAGACCTGGCAGGTACCCTGCTCCCTTGGTACCTGGATTATTTGCGCATTGTTTATTATATCCCTTGCCTTAGTTGTCATCAATTGTAATCATTTAGGAGGGAACAGTGTGATTAACAATACACAAGCAAACAGCAGGAATTAATCCTTTAAATACAATTACTGCATTGGTTATGTGATGGCTCCTTGGAAAAAGCAGTGTGGTAAGAGTACCTATGAAAATCCTCCTTAAGTTTACTCTGAAAATCACTGCTCAGTCACAATTTGCTTAATGTAATTCACAATGCAAGCAATTGAGGAGATATATTTTCCAGCTGTGAGTAACAACAAATACAACCCCCAGCACCCATTATATGTAATAATTTCCCCTGCCACGGCTCCTAGAGATGGGGCTCTGCTTGAGGGGGCTCCTTCTGCCCTGCTCCCCAGGAACCCCCAAACCTCCAATTCTGTGCTTGTTTCAGAAGAGGGAATGAAATGCCATACCCTTGGTGTTTTATACATTAGCTATAAATTTACTTTTTTTTTCCCCCCAGGAGATTTTAATTGTATTCACAGCTGTCAATCTTATTAACTGAGGATGTGAAAAATGAGGAGCTGCCTTGCCTCTTCTGCCTTAAGTGTATGTGGAGTTACAACACTTACTGCTTCCTTTCTGTTTCATACTTAACATAACTGTGTTTTCTATCCTCTTTTTTTTCCCCCCAGGAGATTTTAATTGTATTCACAGCTGTCAATCTTATTAACTGAGGATGTGAAAAATGAGGAGCTGCCTTGCCTCTTCTGCCTTAAGTGTATGTGGAGTTACAACACTTACTGCTTCCTTTCTGTTTCATACTTAACATAACTGTGTTTTCTATCCTGATTTCCAATTAGGTAATGTAACCAGTTAAAGCACATTGTTTTCTTTTCTTCTGGCAATATCATGAAGGTAACCTCACTGACTCATCACTCCAGATTTCATACCAGGACTTCCACCATTTATGAAAAGAGCTCCTTTCCTTGGAGCTTTCTTAAGCCTTGGTTTTAAGGCTCCATCAGATGGTGTAAAGCATAAACCTATGCTAAAATGCACTAGTAGTTCAGAAGTGAAAAGAAGGTTTGACTGCTTCCATAGCAGTGTGTCATCAAAGCAGTATTTGCACCATGCACTAAGAAGTTGGTTCTCAGTGGGAACGTTTCTCATCTGCATGGTTCACATGCACCCTTCTGGCTTCACCTGGTGGTTACTCTAACTGCTTAAAGAAATGTTCACAAATGACTGGAGCTAGTTCATGCTCCTCCACGACATGTCTAAAAGTTACCCTTTTCCTGCACTGCCTGTCATTTCCCCACCCTCCTTAGTTTTTTGCTTTTTTTGTAAGCGTCCACTTGGATTTCTATTTGAAATAGTTGAATGCTCAATATTTTAAAAAGTATTTTCAGTGGTTCACTTAAACATACCAAGAAATAAAACAAAGCATAGGTTCAGATTTTGACACCAGTTACTTTATGCCAGTGGGAAAGCAAGATCAGAACTGGAAAGTCAAATACAACAAGCAGAACCCCTTGATGTGCCTACATATGAAAAACTGCTCAGTTAAGGAGACTGAAAGGTTTATGCAGATTTAACCCTAACTAGCAGCTGAACAACTGGTTCACTAAAACAGTACTATATCTTCATTACTCAACAAAAACATAACGAACAGTTGAGGAATTTTGAGTAGGCAGCTCACACATCAGAAACTGATGAGATAATTGTGCCAAGGCAGGCTTGTTCAAAAGTCTTGAGCATTTCTAACTGATTTATACACACATTTTGTGTCCTACTTTACTCAGGTATTTGAATTAGTAAAACCCCTGGCATCAAGTAAATACATTTCTAAGTCACCACTGAAATAAAGACCAAAACTGCGCAACTAAGTATTGAATTTCCATTTAGCAAACACCATTCAAAACTACTTGGGTAATTATTACAAGCACACAAATTTTACATGCACACAAACCATGCATTAAAAAAAAAAAAAAGAAGGAAAATTACAAACATAATTTATCTGATTAAAGCTGCTATTTGCAGGAATATTGCAATGCACAGCATTTCAGAATTCAAACAGTATGTAATTAAAACTGTTAATTGCAGAAAACTGGCTGCTGTTAAGACTAGAATTTTACCAGGTTCTCTTTATTTGACTACCTGATTTTAAAGGTTAATGCAGTGACCTAGGAAGTCAGTGTGCTCATTTTAATTGCACTGGCATTTTGACCAAACATCACTTTAAAGGCAAAGTGGGAAGAAAAATCAGAGCTGGCTTAGCAAGCCACTGTTGCCTTCATAAAACGTTCATAGTGAGAACACACAAACCCCAAATCTGCTGACTTTATTAAAATATTAACAAGGTATAGTTAAAACTTTTGTACACTTATGCAAATCAGGTTGCCAGAACAAGGGAAACAAGAGATTCCCCTGGGAGGGGAAAAAAAAAATAAAATCAACAAAGTGAAAAGATCAACCATCCTTCCACAGCATGACAGCACGACACAAGAGGCAGCAGCTTGGGAATTCAGCAAGATAAATAAAAACCCTCCAAAGTTTAAGTAAATCATGGTTTATAAAGCTAGTAGATGTAAATGAGGCATATGGTACCATTCCATAAAAAGACCGCATTTGCCAGGGGACAGTAGCAGTATTTTGGTGGCCGTGCTGCACAGGTAAGATATGCCTGAGGACAGCCAGGGTGGCCACCTCCCTGAGAGCTCTTTAGAAAGACAAGCTCTGTTGGTCCATTCCCCAACAAGGTACCAGGCACACACACCATGGAGATTTCAACATCTATGTGGGTTTAGCACCAAAGATATCAGCACGATGTCAATGCCAGCCCCACCAGCATGGCTTGCAGGTGGCCTCTGGGGCCAGGCCCCTGAGAGAAGCATGCCCAGATCAGGTTCTAGCCCCTCTGAAAGTCTTATTGCACCCAGAATGGGTGAGGGCCAAGCACCAGCTCCTCAGAGACTAAAGCTGCTGTGGCTGTGGCCTCCAGTGCCACCAGGGAAACTGATGTGTAATGCCTGGTTTGCTTATTAATGTGCTACTGCCTCGGCAGAGCCTCTCATTAAGCATCGTGTTGAGTCGCACCCACGCTTTGCTATCTTTACTTCAGTAGGGAAAATTCCTTTACTTCTGACTTAACAGTGAGGAAGGGGAGGGGGCAGTTTACCATTTGCTTAGGCTTTGTATGTTAATCAGTGCCTAAATTATTAATAGAGAAAAAGAAATTATTTACCAGGCGTTTGACGTAGACGTGTCAGGATGTAGCAATGCTACTGTCAAGAGAAATACTCAAAGAATCATGATATCTGTCTTGTCTTGTTTATTTATTCCAGCCATGCTCAGAGACCCCTTTCTCCTGATAGCACTTGGGGAGGTGGGAGGAGACAGAGAGACTGTTTAAATGCAGAAGAGACCACACTGAGGATATGCACCATTTCTACATGTTGCACAAGAGCGACACAGTTGCACAGAGAAATCAACCACATTAACTTTGCTTTGAACTCCTGGTGCAAACATACCTGAAGCTCTGTTTGAAAGAAGAACTTCTGTGGACACTGGGAACAGTCATAAATTTTATCCTCCTGCCCATGTACTGCAAAGATGTGCTGCTGCAGTTTGTTTGCCTGTACAAAAACTGAAACAACATAGTATGATTAGTTCTGATTGTTTCATATAAGGCACCTTGTCTTGAGCTACACTTTTACAATTGCAAAGACTCTGAAAAGTCCTAGGATACCTGCCAGAGAAGTGCCAATACACTTGGTTCAGC